TTCCTTGTGTAAATTCTCTGCTGTGATTATTAAAATAAAGATGAAAATTTAAGAGAAATAAGCAGACCAGAAACCATTTTCCCTAGGAAGCAGAAGAAAACAAAAAACACAGGGTTTAAGTGGATATAAGAATAAAAGCTAATACTAGGTAAAGACCAAGAGACCAAACTTCCTTGTATACGATAATTGAGCGAGAAAGCAGTCCCAGGAAGAAAGGATATTCTGCCAAGACAAACCTGAGACTGTCAGTAAGCAGAAATGACATTCTCACCTGTGAGTGGTACCTGCGCCCTACTTGCTAGCTGGGTCAGCAATTATCTGCTAGAACACGAGAGAAGGTGGTGACATGGAAAATCGTTGAGGCTCAGCTCTCGTTGTTGCCATATCAGGCAGATGTTCTGTCAGTGACGCACTTGAGATGCTGTGAATGACAGACTTGACCTGCCCTTTCCCCTTTATGCTGGCTAGTGCAGGGGATAGGAGCTGCCACAGTCTCTCTCTGACTTGAGGGCGGCAGGCCCATCCTCCAGAGAGCAGGTGTTTTGTGTGTCAGACTTTGAGTTGTGTGCGTCTCAGTGCACTGTAGTCTGTGCTAACACATCTCTTGCATCTTGTTGACAGTATCTGGTGGTTCCATGTGAGGTGGCACATAGAATCGCCACAGATGCATTTTCGTGGCCTGAGGAAGCCAAGTTCCAGTGACCCAGCTTCTGCATATCTTTGTAAATGAGCTCCTGTATGTGATATGAGAATCATTCATTTGTTGACTTGTTTGTTTCTCTATCCAATATAGTGGGGGTTTAAAAATGTATTTGAATTGACCTTCCTATGAGGTTAATTTTGTATGTTTTTTTAGAATTACTGATAGTGTAGAAACTCAAATATGTAGGGCAGGAACTGTCCTTGTACAAGTCACACATAGTTATAAAAAAAGTTTTTACTATTTCTCGGGTTTTAACACTCCCAAAAACTTTAATAGTCACGCTTGCCCTACTTTTGTATATGTAGTTTTGTATTTTACTTAAAAAGGGGCCCCCAAATTCTCTGTGCTCCAGGTCCTGGACGTCCTGGGTCCAACCCTAGTGACAGTCTGAGATGGTTTTGTATGTCTTCCGAGTGTGTCCTATGAGGTATCTCACTCTGTCGATATTGTTATCGCAATCAAATAGGTATAGTAGGGGTGATGTTCTTGTGGCACATTATGCTGGATCTGGACATTTCACGTTTTCTGATGTTGACCAAAAAAATACTTGTGCACATGTAGACAAGAAGTCTTCATGCTAATTCTGGTATTGCAGTACTCAGGAAAATTCCCGAGCAGCCTAAATGCTCATCAAAAGGAAAATAAGCAGTGGAAATCCACTTCACAGAATAGGATTAATGAAAAAGAATGTCTTGGCATAGAATAGTCTTTGTGGCCGAGTCAAATAAACAAACACGTGTGAACCTATTTATGTAGAACAGCACCAACAGAAAATAGGACCATTTATGTAAAATAATAACCCAAGCCGGGCTCAGTGGCTCAGCCTGTAATCCCACGCCTTTGGGAGGTTGAGGTGAGTGGATTGCCTGAGCCCGCGGGTTCGAGACCCACCTGGGGAGCAAGACCTCATCTCTACAATCAATCAAAAAATCAGCCGGGCATGGCAGCGCATGCCTGTAATTCCGGCTATTTGGAAGGCTGAGGCGGAAGGATCGCCGGAGCCCAGCAGGTCGAGGCTGCGGTGGGTGGGAGCGGCCACTGCACTCCAGTCTGGGTGACAGATTGAGACTCCAACTCAAAAAATAAAAATAAATAAAAATAACAACCCAAACTGTAGCACACAGCTCTGTTTCTGTACGTAAATTTATTGAATATTTTCTGGAAGGTTATGTATCTAACTGATAACTATGACTGCGTCTGAGAAGGGGAATTAGCAGGGCCCAGAAAGGTAGACTTTCACCTTGGTGTGTTGTGCAATTTTGTACAAGCCAAATGTATTCTTTTTTAAAATGTCTCAGCAGAGTCGCTAGAGTCATCTTTCAGTGTGTGAACTTTATGAGGCGGGGTTGATGCTGTAAAACACAAGGAGGTGAATTGAAGATTGGCTTGTGAAGCTTAAGCTTTTCTCAGTTTGGATCAGCCTGTTTAGCCTCTGTGAGGAGGATGCATGAGCGTTGAGTTATTGAGAAGCTATTGTGACATGAAATGAGACGATTACAAAACAAAGGGTTTTCGGCTCTGCTGGATAAAGCTAAGGTTTGGTTCCATTTTGGAGTGTCAGAAGCCTACTGAGACATTTGGTGGTAGCGTTGTTGGTATTGGATGATTCATTTTTAGATTACAGAGCTGATTTGCAGCTTTGTGAGGTGGAAATACGTCAAAATGGGATCCAAACTGCTGGAATTAACTATAGTAGAAGCATTTTGATGGTACTTCATCATATCTAGCAGAAATTGTAGTAAAACTTAAGTACTTATTGCATTGAACATGTTAGTGCTGGGAGGGGTGAGATAATTGAATGTTTATATTGTAAACTTGGCATATGTCATATTATTTGATCCTCACATAGTCCCAGGGAGTATGGAACTATTCATATCTTCACAGAGTTAGAAACCGAGGACAGAGAGGTCAGTAGCTCGTAAGTGGCAGACTGGGATTTCAGCCCAGCTAGCTGACCTTAGGGCCTGCATTCATTCTTCCCTCCATCCCGAGAGATGCTGTCAACATGGATGTCTCAAAGGCATTTCAGATTCGCTTCAGTTCAAGATGGTAAAGCTTGTAAGCTTTACCCCCTCCACCCTCTCCTTAGTATTTTTATGTGTTTTTTTTTCCCATTCGATTTCTTCCTGCATCCAGTTGCTGATGCCGGCAACCTGGTAGATACTCCTTGACACGGCTTTCCAGTTCCATCAGTCCTCAGTCCATCACACCTCGTTTTATGTTTTGAATAGCTCTTGAATTCTTTCACTCTCCTTTGTTTCTACCATTGCCAGTCTCGGCCAGACCTGTTATCTCCTGACTGGACCTCAGTGTGTGCCTTGAATCATCCATCTCTGTCCACTTCTGGCATGAAATCCAAGCACAGACACTGTTTCCCACTCCTGGCTCTATATGTGCTCGTGTGTGTTTACATGTACTTAACCTCCTTCAGTAGTTACTTCTTGTTTTTATGATAAAGAGCAGACATTTTAGCAGACTGAAAGGACATTAAAATCTGGATTGTGCTGCTTCTTGCACGCTGATGGGTCACTCTCCTCTTCCTGTAGGGGTCAGGTCCTTCTGTGTGACCGTGTGACCATGCAACCATGACTGGTCAGTGATGCTTTCTCCTGTTTCCTCTGTCTAGATTCAGCCCCCATCGTCACTCCCACTCATCTTTCTGATCTCAGCTCAAGCCTCCCCTTTCCCCCAGGCCCTGTCAGTTCTGATTGCAGGTTACTCCAGCATGAGGAGCACTGTGCACGTTTTTATTCTTATTAATGTTTGTCTTTCTCTCCTAGACTCTGATTCCTTGAGGGTTGAGCACCATAGAGCACACTCAGTGTGTGTGAGCGAATGACCACAGCCAATCTTAGCCGCTTGCCTTTCCTCTCGAGGAAACTGATGTGTGAACAGTGCGGCATAGTGGTGTTCATGTGTGGGGTTGGGTTCCTGCTGACTAGCTGAAGGCAGTGGCTTTACCTCTCCATGTCTGCGTCTTTAGCTGTGACTAAGGACAAAAACAGTACCTCCCTCTTGGGTGTAGTGGGGATTATTGAGTGAACAGAGTGCCAGGAGCAGCATCCGAGGCATGTGGAAGTGCTCTGTTGGCGGTGGCGTTCCTGTGTGGGGACCTGTCTCAGATCATCCCGCTGTCTAATGCAGAGCCTGCCTGTGAGACCTGTCCTGCTTTCTGCGTTTCTCCCTACTGAAAGCCTTTGGAATCCTTGCAGATTCATTCTTTTGTGAGCTGAAGTTCGTCTTTGTACTTTGTTTAAAAATGAGTCTGCACTGTTTCTTGCCCAGTGAAGGCATGTGTACATTTTGTTTTCTTCATTCTAACTCAGTTACAAATAGGAGCCATATCCCTCCCGACCCAGTGGAAGACATTTCTAATAGACAACGAAATCTGTGCTTAGGGGACAAGGCACTTGAGTGCAGGTTGACTAGAACTTTGACTGTCACATGATGGTCTTTGAACTCAGATATCTTGAAGTAAATGATTAAAGGATGTTAAGTAGGTGGTGAAGTCTGTGCAGAGAATTGTTTTTAGAAAATTGATCTAGCTGGCAATGGAAATAGGAGGGTGGATTTAGATGATGGCCTCTGACGGAATGGGGCAGATAGGGGGGAGAGCTGGGTTTTGTGGGAGAGATATTGAACTTCGTTTTATGTAGATTGTTTTGGAATTGCTTGTTGGACTTCTAGGTGAAAGTGTGTTCAGGTTAAGTGTGTGGAAAGAAGTCAGGGAAGAGACCTGGGATGGAATTATTGAAAACTACATAATATGACAGAAAGAGTAAATGAGATACTAATAATGGTATGCTTGCAAACAGCAGATGATACAATATTTTACGTATTAGCTGTTGTTTCTGGATATACTTGAAAATGATGAAACCCATTTTAAATCCTATCCTATAATTAAAAAATTTCACTAATAATGTGGCCTTCTCTGTAGTCTAATTTAGTGATGTACAGTTTCCCAAAATGTTGCAGATTACCTCAGTGCTGCGTAAGAAGAGATAACTTGAAGGGAACATGATGTCATCATGACATTCTTTTCACCTAAAAAGGCTGAAGAAAAGTGGTGACTGCTAAACACTGGTTGACTTTGTACATGTTACGAATGCCATCTTCTTTACAAAATATGCATGTATTGAAAAGGAATCTAATCTGAGAACAAGACTGAGCCTTTGCAGTGGGCCTCAGTGAGGTGCTGGGTGGTTAGGCTTCATCCTAGCTGCAAGTGTCTTGTGGAGTCTGCTCTCTGAATCCCTCACTAATTTAAGTGCTTATGCTTTTTTTTTTCTTTAACCAGGGATTGTGGTGCTTGGAATAAACAGAGCTTATGGCAAAAATTCACTCAGTAAAAATCTTATAAAAATGGTGAGTGTAAAGATGAAACAGTTTGCTTCTCATGTTAGTTGCTGTGTTGTCATTAAACTGAAAGTGACTTTTCTCTCTTTCCTCCGTACCCTTCCTGTTTGTGTTTAGCTATCAAAAGCTGTGGATGCTTTGAAATCCGATAAGAAAGTACGGACGGTCATAATCAGGAGTGAAGTCCCAGGGATATTCTGTGCCGGTATGTAAATAAATTGTATCATGAAGTTAAATGTAGTCTAAGTTTTCCTCAGTTACGGTCTGTTTTCCAGTAAACTGATCTGAGGTGTAAACTCCATTACCAACAACTCTGTCTTATTTCCTGCTGATTCACAAGGGAAAAAATATGCTTAGTCTGTCAGCATTGGAAAGAATCTTTTGTAACGTGTAGATTGTGACATGTAGAAGTTGAAAAAGCACTGTGAGCCACTAAAATATGTTTTTAGTGTCTTAACTGGGGCCAATATTCTTCAGTTTCATTCTTTTTTTATTTTTTTGAGTCAGGATCTTACTCTGTTGCCCAGGTTGGAGTGCAGTGGCATGATCATGGCTCATAACAGCCTTGACCCCTGGGCTCAGGCAACCTTCCATCTCTGCTTCCTGAGTAGCTGGGACTACAGGCAGGCACCACCATACCCAGCTAATTTTTTGGTTTTTGTAGAGACGAGGTCTCGCTGTGTTTCCCAGGCTAGTCTTGAAATTCTGGGCTCAAGCAGTCTTTCCAAAGCGCATGAGCCACCATGCCCAGCCTTCAGTTTCCTTTTTAAGGGTCCTCAGTTCTTTTAAGCTTGAATCTCTGTGACTTCCACCTTAAAATGTTACAGACTTTTAGGAACATGCAGTACATATTTTGGCTTCTGATAAGCTTTTATTGCTTTCTTAGGACATTCCTTAAAACATAGCATACCTAAAAGAGTTAGTTGTAATTCCAGTTGGGCAGTCAGAGAGTGCAGAGTGATCACTCTCAGCTACTTGGGTCATGGTGTAATAGCACAGGCTTCTGTTTTTACATTTGTCATACGTGAGTAATGTGTTTGCCTAGTAGGGTTGTCAGAGATGTCCCTGTGACGCTGTACCTAAAGCATAGTGCCTAAAGCATAGTGCAGTGTTCAATAAATGATAACTCTTAATGATTCTTATAGCAGCTTCATGTATTTTGAATTCTTTTTTCTCAAACAATATGAAAAATGTATACCTAGAGGATTAGGATTCTTATGTCTGTAGCTTTTTTTTTTTTTTTTTTTTTATAGTGGGAGTCTCACTCTGTCTCCCAGGCTAGAGTGTAGTGGCACACTCACGGCCATCCTAGCTAGCGTCTACCTGCTGGGCTCCGGCAATCCTTCCGCCTCAGCCTTCCAAGGAGGTGGAACTATAGGTGTGTGCTACCACGCCCGGCTAATTTTTTGATTTTTATTGTAGAGACGAGGTCTCGCCAAGTTGTCCAGACTGGTCTTGAACCCGCAGTCTCAGGGAATCCACTCGCCTCGGCCTCATAAAATGCTGGGATTACAGGCTGAGCCTCTGAGCCCGGCCATGTGTGTAGCTTTAAGGGTCAGGTGAGCATGGTTCAGGTAACTGGGGCTGCCACCATGACTGCTGGCTGAGAGGTCTTCTGGGGGCCACTGGGTGGCTTATTGGGAAGTTGTAGAGTAGCTTTAGGGCTTTTAATGAAGGTTGAATTGTATGACTCTTTGAGGAGAGATAAGTGGTTGTAGTAAAGGCGAAATAACACTTAACAATGAATGTTAATGTTCATTCTGGTATTACTGTCTTTCTCTGGTAAGAGAGTTTATAATGGTCACGCTATAGTTATGAGGAGTAAACTTCTTTCTATTTTACCTATTCCTTTGCTGCCTGTTTGTTCTGCATTTCTATATCTGTAGTATCTTTGAAAAAGTCATTAATGCTTTAGTACAGGTCTGTTACAGGTTCCCTTTTTGGGGACATATTAAGTGATGTACCAAATACTGTGTATCAGACTAACAAGCTAGTCTTGAATACATTGTCTGAATTAAATCAGTTTTCTTTGCTTTGTGTTCTTTTAAGCTTTTGCACAATCAGGATAATCTTTTATATTTTAACTCATGAGATTTGTTATTGTATTTTATTTAAAAATAATGTTTTAATTGTAGAAAAATTGGGGCAACTTATTTATTTTGGTAATTCAGTGTACATAATGGAATCATTCTTTCGAATTTCTCTGAAGAGTTTTCCTTGCTTATATATGTTTGAAATAGACTGTCTAGTAGGTCTGTCTTTTAATATGTACACATTAAATAAAATTCCAGATAAATCTCTTCACATAGTTAAAAGGATATTTAAATTTATAACCTGCATTAGTATAAACATCTTAATTTTAATAAGGCCACATTTTTTAATTATCCTTGAAGAATGCAGTCTTTCACCTAATTAAAGCTTTACTTTGTATTCTGAAGTAGTCATATTAAAAAATAAAACCCTCAAGAAAACAGTGTCCCCGTTTATTGGTTATTCATTCTCTTAGCCCCTCTCCATCCCTCCACAGTTATCATGTTCCCTCTTCCTTTATTGTCCCCTCAAAGCTTTCTCTGTGTATCTGTGTCCCAGTAATACCTTGTTCGTGTCTACAAACTTAATGCATATGGAGTGGTCTTGCCTCAGATTTCTTGGGCATAGGAATATCTATTGTGCGCGTGCCACTTTCTCTATCTCCCTCTAGCGTAGGAATCTCTCTCTCTCTCTCTCTCTCTCTCTCTCTCTCTCTCTCTCTCTCTCTCTCACACACACACACACATGAAAGCTCAAGTAATTCTGCTATTTCAAAGTGTTTAGGTTTTTGTTATTTTTTTATCTGTCTAGTATAGTAATTTATATAAATATGCAAATACAGTCATGTGTCGCATAATGATGTTTTGGTTAGTGATGGACTACTTATGTAATGGTGGGCCAATAATATATAATACCATATTTGTGCTGTATCTTTTCTAAGTTTAGACATGTTTAAATACCGAAGGCCTACTGTCGTGCTCCAGTTACCTACATTATTCAGCACTGCCCCATCCTGTGCTGGTGTGCAGCCCAGAAGCAGTAGCTATACCACGGAGCCTAATCGGGAGCAGCTCTATCATGTAGGTTTGCGTGAGTGCACTCTACCATGCTCACGTAATGAGAGAATCCCCGCAGTGCACTTCTTGGAATATGTTTCAGATTTACGGACATAGGGCAGAGGCACTCATGAAGTGTCAAGCTGCTATTTAAAGTGATACGTATAAGGACATAAATATGCTACACATACAGTGATAAGTGTGAAGTGTGGTCAGTACATATTATAATAAGAGCGCGTTGTATACAAAATCTTCTGTCCATGATTACTGCTACTGTGGAAACTATGTCTATAAATAAGTTTATAGATTTGGGATGACATTTTCTTTTCTCTGTCTTCAAACTTTTTTAAATAGTAGTTTCACTATATTAACAAATTATAATATATACAAAGTAAGTAATTTTGAAAAGCTTGTATTTTGAAAAATGTGTCTGAGTATATTTCTCTGTTTGGAAACAAAAACTGTGATGTTAACTGAGTCCCTGGAATATTGTTACAACATTTGAGAGGAAAAATTTCTGTGCAATCCAATCCCAATGAAGCGCTCACACCTAACTTACAGGAGCCCTGTGAGCAGAAGGAACTCGTCAAAGGAGGCAGCAGCTGGATTACTTCTTGACTTTCAGGACAGGGTTTTCTTGATTGCACTGTGTTTTTAACCTAAAATCTAGGAATGTGAGATCTCCTTTTAAAGGTCTTAAAATTTTATGTCCTTACACATTTTAGTGACCCTACACTAAGAAGATGTGTAATATCAAATAGTCATTGCTACAGCAATGTATTAAAATGAATGTTTCCATTGTCAACCATAGTAATACCTAAACACATTTAAAATATGTCATAATTGTTACGGCTGTAGCAGTGCCTTGCTGTCCCCTGCGTGCCTCTCCTGCTTGGGAATCACTGTCGCGTGCTCTCCACGTAGATTCGAATGCTGCTTCTGGTTTTGAAGCTAGCCTGTGTGTGCATTTCTTAGAAGAAGACTCAGAGGCATCAGTTCCATAGTCATGGACAGAGATATTGATGTACACAGACTGACCTGAGTGTATGCTGCCTCCTTGCATATGCTAGGTGCTGTATATTCATTTTTAAAGTGTATTTTCTCTCTTTCCTTCTCTCTCTCTCTCTCTCTCTCTGTCTCACACACACACACACAAACACACATGAAAGCTGAAATAGTTCTGCTATTTCAAAGTGTTTAGGCAGTTAAAATTTTAATATATCGCCTATCATGAAATTGTAAAACAGTCCTTTTGGTTGGGCTGCTGCATTGGATATGAAAGTGTAATCACAGTCATCTGTTTATTTTTACCTTTCGACTATTTTCTTCTATTCTCATGTGCTTATGCATTGTTTTTACCGTAACATTTTTTAAATGAAATTTTATGAGAAATTACTGAAACTGATGATTTTTTCCCCTTTGAAATTCCCAAAATAAATGATAAACAATTCTTGGTAATTGATTTCTATATGTAGAACTCTCGATTGAGTGTATCACTAATTATACCAGTGTGGGTTTTTTTTAAAAAGTAAGGGTAGTTTTGCTTCTGCATTTGAATTCTAGTAAATTGTGTTATGACTAAATACTTCTCACTAAACATGCATTATTGCATGTTATATTCAATGACATTGTTCAAATGGATACAGATGTTATGACATGGGCAGATATATATGGGAGGTTCTCACTTATGAAGTAAGTAATCTACTCATTTTTGTTTCAGAATCTTAGGTTGTTGTATTTATGTATTTGAGTATTAGTCCCTTAGAGGATTTAATAAGTAACATGAAGGGATAGCTACCACAAATTTGTATTCCTGTGGCATGGAAATATAGGGTTCTTTTGTTATTTTTTTGTTGTGTGGCATTTTTTGAAATAAAAAAACTTCTGTTTTATTGAAGTGTGAATGACTTAGAATAAAATTAGTCAGTTTTAAGTATGTAATTCATGAGTTGTGACAGACGCTAAGCCATCATCAGCCATGATACAGAACATGATCACCGCTTAAAAGCTTTCTTGTGTCCGTTTGCAGTTAGTCCCCTTGCCGTGCTCTTACCCCTTAAACTACTCGTCTCATTGCTGTTGCTGTAGTTTTGCTTCTTCTGGAATTTTTTGTGAATGG